TTTATAGTTAGCGAGCGCATGCAATAGTCATCATTGTTCACACTTACGCACAACGCTTGCAAGCTGGAACAACGGCCGCAGTACAATAGTGCTTCGAGAGAGACGAGATAGCGAAAATTTAAAAAAGTAAGTGCTATTTTATTTAATATTTTTCTTTTTTATGTCTCTAAGTGCAACTGTTTTTTCGTGTTATGCTTCAAAATAGTTAGACGACTCAATTTTTTTTATAGATGGATTTATCAAAAATTAATGCTGCGTCTTCGATTGTAGACCGCAAACCTATCAGAAAATTAAAGGACCTACCAGTCGGGGACACCATTTGCAATCCAAGCAGCTAAAGTGGTCAAGTCGAAATTTGGGGAAGCCGTGCTACTAGATTTAGGACCGGAAGTGCTATTTCTACCACAAGCGGGTGACGGAAACGTACCAGCCGGTCATCGACGAACTTTTTCACGGAAAATACTCGATCATCTTCCAAGGGGAAGTGGACGTAGGGAAAAGCCGACCGCTAGCATCATTCAAAATAGTGGAAAATTAACAAGCAGAGAACAGGAGGAGGAGGACAGGGTGAGCATTTTTATATATTTTTGAGTAATGTGTTTGCTTGAAAAAAAAATGTCGTCTTTTCAAATGTCTTCAAATAAGGTTAAAAAGATCATCAAACAAACAGACGGTGTTCTACTATCAATTGTTAGTCTACGGAAAATTTTATTTGATAATTTTACAATCAGAGACGCGGAAGTGTGGCTGAAACGAATAGAAAAACAAATTAGATTATGTAAACGGGTAATTCGTAGTAGAAGGCAAAATAAATTATCTGTAGGGACCTGTAGAAAAGTAGAAACAAATTTGGGCATTTTAAACATTTTAGAAAGTTGATTTTAACTAGACATATTGGGGCAGGACTTCACTTAACATTGGGTCAGAGGGTTAGATGGGAAAATGTAGAATCGAGCTTTCAAAGTAGAATAAAAACCGGTTCCATAGCTAATTTGCGTCATAAGGACTTGAATCAATTTTTAGCAGATTGTGTAGTTGTTTTTAAAGGAAAATTAGGAATATTTGAACACCCATTGTGCGCTCAAAGTAAATACAACATTTTGCGGGGAGTTTATTAGGAAATCGGGGATAATGAAATTTTGGGAATTAATATATTAATACTAAAAATCATATTATTGATACATCAACTCAAATAGACGAGTGGTTTAAGATATATGTTAAAGATAAACTTTTAAACGAATTATCGGAATTTGCTGAAAAAGATTCGGGATTTGCGTTAAATAAAATTATTTCCTTAGTTGTTAATATCAGTAAATATCAATTGGGAAACGGTTCATCTTATATTAGACTACCAGAACCGATTATAAGGAAAAATGCTTGTATAAACATTAAAAATATAGATCAAAATTGCTTTTACTGGGCCATTGTAAGCGCTCTTCGGACTCCTAGCAATAAAAGACATGCAGAACTAACCTCCTCATATCCACACTTTACTGACGTTTTACAAACAGAAAATTTAGATAGTCCTATGCTGCTAACAAAAATTTCAAAATTTGAAAAGATGAATAACATTTCAGTCAATGTTTACGCTTTAGAATTGATCGAAACAGAAAAAAAATCATTTTACATAGTAGTACCAGCAAGATTAACGGAAAATAAACGGGATACGCATGTTAATTTACTTTTAGCTCAAAATAAATATTATCCGCGTTTAAATGATTATGATGCTCCTCCACCAGCGCCAGCAAATGAAGATAATGATTCAATCGATGAAATTAAATATCACTATTGTTGGATTAAAAATCTTTCGCGTCTTATTAGTAGCCAGTTAAATAAACATCGTGAGAAAAAATTTATTTGCGATAGATGTCTGAACTATTTCCATCAGCAAAATAAATTAGTTGAACATGAAAAACTGTGTTCTAAATTTAATAAATATAAAATTAACCTTCCTAAAGAGAGCTGCGTTGAATTTAAAAACTTTACATACCAACAAAATACTCCTTTTGTTGTTTATGCAGATTTTGAATGTCAATTAGAAAATCATAAAGAAAGTAGCGTCGTAAATTTAACTAAAACCATAAAATATCAAAAACACGTTCCGTATAGTGCTGGTTTCTATGTAAAATGCAGCTATGATGATAGCCTTTCTTATTTCGAGAGCTTTCGAGGTGCAGATTGTATGGATTGGTTTGCAAATCGTATGGCTGGTGTTGCGCAATTTGTAAACTCAAAAATAAAAACAAGCGTACCTATGATTGAAAAATTAGACACATGTAAGGCAACATCATGTCATATTTGCGGTAAGAGATTTTCAAAAACAAAAAAAGACATAATCGTTAGAGATCACAACCATTTCAGTGGAGAGTTCAGAGGTTACGCACACCAAGCATGCAATCTGAACTTTAGAAAATTGTTTGTTGTGCCGGTTATATTCCATAATTTAAGTGGGTACGATAGTCACTTTATGATTTCGAATTTATGTAAAAAAGGTCGCTTAAGTCTACTTCCCATCAACAAAGATAAATACATCTCCTTTACGCTGCACTCAGATGAAAATAACATTAAATTGCGGTTTATAGACTCTTTTCGATTTATGGGGGCGTCTCTTGATGAATTAGCTTCAATTTTAGCAGTATCAGAAAAGAAAATTTTACAAAGGGAATTTCAAAATTTAGATGAAGATAAATTCAAATTATTAACACAGAAAGGAGTTTTCTGTTACGATTACATTGATTCGTTGAAAAAATTAAATGAAACGACTTTGCCCCCAATTGAAAAATTTTACAATAAATTAAACGATGAAAGTGTAAGTGACGAGAAGTATGCTCATGCGCAATCTGTTTGGCAACAGTTTAACATTAAAACATTAGGAGAGTATTCTGATATATATTTAAAAACAGATATTCTGCTTCTTGCCGACGTTTTTGAGCAATTGCGTAAAAAATGTTTCTCCACCTATGGTCTGGATCCTGCGTGGTACTATACAATGCCCGGATATACGTGGGACTGTATGCTCAAATACACTGGGTGTAAGTTAGAACTACTAAAGGATCTAGATATGGTGATGTTTTACGAAAATGCTATAAGAGGTGGAATTTCGGTGTGTAGCAACCGATTTTCGGAGGCCAACAATAAATATATGCCCGAATATGATCCTGAAAAGTCGTCCAAGTACCTTATGTACCTGGATGTGAATAGCTTATATGGGAAGGCTATGCAGCAACCCTTACCCTACGGAGGGTTCAAATGGGTAGATGATGTAACATCGTTTGATGTGATGTCAATACCCGACGACTCTGACGTAGGGTACGTGCTACAAGTCGATCTATCGTACCCACAAGAACTGCACGATAAACACAAAGATTTTCCGTTTGCGGCAGAACGTAGCGTACCACCCAGCGACGGCGGGGTAAAATTGCCGAAATTAATGGCAACACTTACGGATAAAAAAGAGTACACGGTTCACTATAAAAATTTAAAACAAATGCTAGCTAATGGGTTAAAGTTAACGAAAATCCATAAAATTTTACAATTTAAACAAGCAGCCTGGCTGAAACCCTACATCGAGTTGAATACTCGATGTAGAGCTGCAGCCCGGAATGATTTCGAAAAAAATCTTTTTAAATTAATGAATAATGCAGTATTCGGTAAGACCATGGAAAATATACGTAAGCACCGCGTATGTAAAATCGTTAAATCTTGGGGTGGTCGCTATGGGGCAGCAAACTTGATTTCGAGTTTTCGGTTCCACAGTCGCACAATTTTAGAGGAAAATCTGGTGGTTATCGAATTGAACAAGGCTGAAATAACGTTTAACAAACCTCTGTATGTAGGGCAGGCAATTCTAGACCTATCGAAACTAGTCATGTACGATTTTCATTACACCTATATGCTACCAAAAATGGGTGCAGAAAGGTGTAAGCTCATGTACATGGACACAGACAGTTTTATCTACGAATTGCAATGTGAGGATGCATATGAGGAGATCATTAAAGCTGATTCCAGTAAATTTGATACTTCGGATTATCCTGAAAATAACATATATAAAATACTGCGTAAGAACAAAAAGGTGCCGGGTCTAATGAAAGATGAAAATAACGGTAAAATTATGACACATTTTGTTGGACTTCGAAGCAAAATGTATAGTTACAAGGTGCAGGGTGGGAAGGTGGTTAAAAAATCTAAAGGGGTTAAGTACAATGTTGTTAAAAATAAAATTGCATTTGAGGATTATGTTGAATGTTTGAAAGAATTTAAGGAAAAAACAGCTACACAACGCTGTATCAGGTCGTATGCACACAACGTATATTCTGTTGAACAGTCAAAAATTAGTTTAAGTCCGTATGACGACAAACGTTATTTAATTCCGAACAGTTTTGACACACTTCCGTGGGGGCATTACAGTATCTTATAATAGCGTTTTTTTTTTGTTATAGATGAATGCCCC